AAAGCTCTCTGCAGGATCAATGGAGGAATGCGGCTACTGAAGAGCGAATTCAGGAACCTTTCGGAGAAGTACTGGTGAGTCACCGAAGAAAAGGAAATCCTTTTGGATTCTTGTCTATTTGCTCTCTCTGGAAACAGCATGCAGCAGAGTTGCACCGTGCTGTCCTTGTTGGGTTTTCAGAATGACAAGCCTGAAATACTCCTGCAAACAGTGCAAGCTATCAAGATGCCGCTCTTGCCAATCAATGTAGAAAATTTTGAGGTTGGAACATTAGTTTTACAAAGGTAATAAGTCAGTGACATTTGAGATCTTGCAACAAGGAAGCCTTGGGCCAGAAGTGCAAATTCAGTATGATTTTGTACACAGGAAGGCTTTAGGCAGCTAAATAAGTTATATTTTATTATGGGGTAAGAAATTATAGAGATAGCTTCTGAATGGACTTACCCAGAATTTCAGTGGATTAGATCTGTTTCTAGGAAATGATATGAGAACTACACAACACTGTGGTGATCCTGATGCTGGGGAAGTCTCCATCCACCAGATAATCCACCAAAGAGAGAGAAGTCATTCCTACAGGGGAAGGTTTGAACAAATGGCCATCTTTTGTGACTCATGAGAGATCTCACACTGGAGAGACACTTTGTTCGTGTCCCAGCTATGGAAGCACACTCAGTCTGTATGGGAACCCCATTACCTACCAGGTATCCCATACTGTAGAAAGTTGTAGAAATGCCCCAGTTGCTGACATCTCTTTAGGTTACAACACAGTGGGCTTTACTGAACACCACCAGGTAACTGTTACTGATGACTGGAAGAGACTTTTCCACCAGGTAGACCCAGATCACCATCCCACTAAGGAAGAGAATGCGACAAAGAAACCCTCTCACTGCCCTGATTGTAGGGAAGATTTTGTTCACAAATCAAGCATCCCCAGGCATCAGGGGATCCACAGAAGAGAAAACCTGTCTCAGAATTCAGGGCAAGAGAAAACTTGTAGCTAGACTTAAAACCAATCACATAATCCAAAGATCCAGTCCAGAAAGAAACACCTGTCCTGTCTGATGGTAGGTCAAAGTTGACTGCCAAAAATGAGAACTGGTATGCTGCTCTGTTCAACAGGTACAGGCAAAGCTTCTCTCTTGCCTCTCAATTTCACAGACATCGGGCAACTCACTCTGAAGAGAAGTCTTTTTACTGCTCTCATTGTGGGAAAGGGTTTATTGTTACATCAGGCACCAGCCAGAGAAACCCTTCCAGTGTCTTTATTGTGATAAAGGCTATCTAAACAGGCATTACCAGATAAACCATAGAATGTACAAATGAAGCAAAGGACATGACTTTAGTGTCAGATTTTCTGTTCTGTGTGTGTTTTGCTCCCTCTAGTGGTCGATTTGGTATTGCATCTTTTTTTAAAAAAAAACACTGCAGGTTTTTATGCGAGACATAAACTAATGTAAAATAGAATCAACCACTAGAGGGAGCAAAACATGTGCAGAAGGAAAAAATACCCAAAGCAACAGGAACACACAAGCAAGGAAAATGAGAATGCAGATAAGCCCAATGGTCAATTATAGAAACAAGAATTAACTATTGGGTTATTTGTCACAAGCAGTTGGTGGGTTTTCAGATGTTCTGTAATTGCCAGTAAATGCCAATGTTGAAAGCATTTATTGTCATATACTGTAAGACATGTCATGTAACTTAATGCAGAGACAGAGTCTATCATTCCGTTTGCTGATTCGCTTCTTTTTTGTTTTTATCTTTCAGCCATTCGTAGGTGAAATAGCACCTAAACTAGGATATGATGTGAAAACTCTTCTGGACGTGAACAGTCACAAGCTCTGGAATGCATATGATGCCTTACTTGTTCAGGTATTTTTAATTAACTATTATAGCATATCCAGCTTCCACAAAAAGAGCCCTTCAGGACCACGTCACATGATTCAAGATCACCTCTGGCCGTGCCAGAAATCAAGGTGAACAACAACTGGTCATGTGGCAGAGAGAGATTGACTACTTGCTCTTCTCCTTCGCCCGGCTTGGCAGGATGGAGCGATGTTTAGTTCCGTGACCAGTGTTCCCTCTAAGCTGAGTTAGTGTGAGCTAGCTCACAGTTTTTTTAGCCTCTGGCTCACACATTTTTGCCTTCGCTCAGGAAGGAGGGCTCCAGAGCAAACTGATCGATGCAGTAGCCAAATTGTTTGCTCACAACTTTAATGCCGGTAGCTCACAAAGTAGAATTTTTGCTCACAAGACTCCACAGCTTAGAGGGAACATTGTCCGTGACTATTTCAAAAGGTTTCATTGTCTTTACCAAACTAACCGCTGAGGCAGCTTTTGGGTGGGGGGGAAAGAAAATGGAGGTCAGCAATGACAAAATAAGCAAATTCAGTGCTAGCTCCAGATTTTATGGGGTCACATGTGAACACGATGCCTCTAAAATATGAGGAGTAGGCAAGGCCACACCTACCACAGCACCAGCTGAGCCTGAGTGAGCAGACAGGGACTGTTTCCAGTCTCCACCACTCACACCACATCCTGCTATATCTCACAGGTGGCCCCGAGGCCTGTGGGAGAAGGTACATGTGAGTTGGCAGACAGCAGTGGCAATAAGTAGCGCAGGTGCCCTCTCTTTCTTGCTTGCTCTGCCGTCTCTTTCTGTGCCAGTCTCCACAGTAGGATGGTCTCAGGCAATGGAGAAGAAGAGAAGAAACTCCAAAAGGTAGTGGGCTTCATGCCCGGGAATTTGGCTGCCAGCTCTAGGTTGGGAAATTCCAGGAGTTTTGGGGGGGGGGGGTGGAGTCTGAGGATGCTAGGGTTTGGAGAGGGGAGGGATTTCAGCAGAGTGTAATGCCACAGTCCACCTTCCAAAGCTATTTCCTCCAGGGGAACATTTCCTCTGTTACCTGGAGATCAGTTGTAATCTAGGGTTGCCAGGTCTGGGTTGGAAAATACCTGCAGATTTTGGGCGTGGATCCAGGAGAAGGTGGGGTTTAGGGAGGGGAGGGGCCTCAGTATGGTCCAATGCCATTGAGTCCACCCTTCCGAGCAGCCATTTTCTCCAGGGGAGCTGATCTCTGTCAGCTGGAGATCAGATGTAAAAGCAGGAGATCTCCAGGCCCCACCTGGAGGCTGGCAACCCTACTGTGGTCTCAGAAGCTCTCCAGCCGCCACCTGGAGGTTGGCAACCACGCCAGGGAATGATCTCAAGTAACTTCTACTCACGACATCATAAATTAATAATTGGCCAGTCTGTCTGTCTGGTGGAGCACTTTCACAACCGCTTCACTGCATGCCTGTCTAAAGCTCACAGAACGTGCCACATTTCAAGTCAAGCAAATTCAGTACAACAGCCTAATTCTAATACTGTTCCCTTGAAAGTAAGCCTTATTATAATCATGCCTGTAAAACCATTACGAAATGAAGGGTGCTTTGGATCTGGTTATAATGACCCATGTAGGCAATAGGCAGACACCAGTTCTTATAAGCGTATGTGGCTTGGGACTGTGGCAGCATCCACACTGTTAGAATAATGTGCCTGCCTTGCGACTATAACATGGATCACATTAAGCTTGCTTTTTTGGCACTAGTCTCTCCATAAGTATCGTAATGATGACTGGGTAGAACCGAGCACAATGAAGAAGATGAAATCACTGCTGGAGGTGGCCATAACCGCAGTCTTTGGGGACCACAAAAGAGAAGAAAAATCACGACTGCAAGGAGGCAAGTATCCAGTAGGCCCCCTTTCTCTGTGACACACACGCTGGGTGCGTTCAGACGCGGCCTTTCTGCCGGCATAAACTGCACCGGTTGGAACCGGTGCAGTTTATGCCGGCAGAAACGTGATCAGACTCACCCTCCATCTTGCGAATGCCTCCGTTGGACGCCCGCTCACACACTGCGAGCGTCGGCGGTTTTTTTTTTTTAAGCAGTTTGAGCATGCGCACAGGCAGCCATTCAGAGAATGGCGATTTTTGCGCATCCTCAACCCCCCCCTTACATTTAAACTTTAAAGGAAAGCACTTACCTTTAAAGTTTAAAGCCCAACCTGGCCTCCCTGTAGTCCCGGACTCCTCCAGGACGGTAAAGTAAGGGCTTTTTTTAAAATATAAACAAACGCTCAGGGCGAAGCTTCGCCTGAGCGCATATCGCTTAGTTTTTTTAAAAAAAAATGGCCCGGGAAAGCCGGAAGCCTCAGGCTTCCGACGGAAGTGGCTGTGCAACGGAGGAGAGCGATCAGACGGAAGGGTTCATCGGAAGCCACCGTTGCACTCTGTTAACCACCACTTCGGACCTAGTGGCAGAGTGCAACGGTTTAAAAGGATTTACAACGGTTAGGGACGGGAGGCAAATGTTCGCCGTCTGAACGCCCGTAAGTACACCGGTTGGAACCGGCACCCTAACCGTTGTAAATCCCCCGTCTGAACGCACCCGCTGTGTGTCCTGTCTTGCGTCCTTGTGTATATAAAGCTTTTGCTGAAGTAACCCCACCAATGAACATTGTTTTAAAAATGTAAAATGTATCGTTCTAAAAACAAAACACCCCTCACTTTCATATGAATTGTGTTCTGATGTTACTTGATTATGAGCAGGGCTATTTTTGGGCAGGAACGCACAGGAACGGAGTTCCAGCTGGCTCCCGAGTTGGCCACAACTAGCAGGAACTCATTAGCATAATAGGCCACACCCAACAGCAGAAACCCATTAGGATTGGCTACATCAGGGGTGTGTGGCCTAACATGCAAAGGAGTTCCTGTCACAAAAAAGCCCTGGGTTTTGACAACAAACAAGGTAAACAGAATAACAAGCAAAAGGTGGGTGTGGCTGGATAACCACACTTCTGGTAACATGGGGGTGCGGCCTAATGTGTTAATGATCTCTGCTGTCAGGGGTGTGGCCTAATATGCTAATGAGTTTCTGCTGTTGGGTGTGGCCTATTATGCTAATGAGTTCCTGCTGGGCTTTTTCTACAAAAAGAGCCCTGAATGAGAAAACCTGTAATCTGTTTGAAAGGGTGGGGTTCATATGTCATAGTCTAGCACAGGTTTAAGGATTAGAGCTTTGGTGTCTAATATACAATTCCACATGTGTAGGTTTGTTTGAAGAACACAGAAAATCTTAGGAATGAGTCAGATGAGACACTGGAAACCAGCATGATGCAGTGGTTAGAGGGCAGGACTAGGTTCTGGGAGACACGGCTTCAGATCCCCACTCTGCCATGGAAGCTTAATAGATGACCTTAGACTGAGATAGAGTGACTGTCCTAACTACCTCACAGGGTTGTTGTGAGGATAAAATGGAGGACAGGAGAACCATTGATCCCTCCCGCTGCAGCCCTAATCTGGTTACCACTCCCATTCACACAAAGGTTCTATTTAACAGTTAAAAACTACTCTGGACACAAGCCCGTAGCCAGGACATTTTCGGGGGAGGCACAGAGGAGAAACGCACCTATGCCACTTCACTTCTGACGTCACCGGGAAGTGACATGGGCATGCCAGAGGGGGTGACATGGATAACACCGCTCTTTTATTACCTGTATGCAAATTTGCTGTTATTCATCCAATTTTAGCTATACTTTTTAATGTATCTTAAGAAGCGTGCATCTACACATGCTAAGGCAGTTCTCCCTTATACCCTGAAGTAAACTTTGTTGGTCTTCAAGGTGCCACTGGACACAAACTTAGTTCTCGCATCTGTTTGTTAACTCTTTTGTTTGAGTGCTAATTTACAGCTATTCACAGCTCTTACCCACTGCTTTAATCCAATTACCTATGCATCTCGACTCTAACTAGCCTTTCCTGGGAACTACCCCTCCCTCTCTACCTATATGCAAGGCATGAGGAAGTCTGCTTCAATGTATCTGAAGAAGTGTGCATGCACACTTGTACTCAGAATGAGACATTGTTGGTCTTAAAAGTGCCACTGGACTCAGACTTTGTTCTATAGTGTTCTTAACTGAGATCGTAACCTTCTAGATTCATAAAGCGAAACCTAAGGGAAAGTGACGGTCAAAAATAACCAAAAACATCACTTGAAATACTTGCCTGAAGAGAAGCCATCAGACCACTGTAATGAGAAGCCACATTTTATAGACTCTAGAAGAAAAATGAAGGTGAACTCCTACAATGACTAATACAATTATTCTTGACATTGGTTAATATTGGAGATACTTAGTTGGAATTTAATATTTCCTTGAATTAAGAACATTAGACTTTCTCAGTTATCCTTATTTGGAAAATAAATCCCTCATAACTGATCAAGGATGGATGACAGCAAGCAAGTTCTGAAATGTTTCTTGGCTTCTCTGGCATTCATCTTCTTCCTCGTGCCCATCCAGGTCTCCTTGTGAAAGCTATTTTGGAAGATATCACAAAGGCTGCTACCAGTGCTGACCCCAAAAAAATGGCGATGTATTCAGCGGTAAGTATTAATGCTATTAAATCTCTGTTGAAGCAAAAAGGACTCCCCCCCCCTTCTGTGGTTAAGACGGATCATGTTCAGTGTTCCTTCTAAGCTGAGTTAGCGTGAGCTAGCTCACAGTTTTTTAGCTTTCGACTCACACATTTTTGCCTTAGCTCAGGAAGGATGGCTCCAGAGCAAACTAATTTATGCAGTAGCCAAATTGCTCGCTCACACCTTTAATGCCAGTAGCTCACAAAGTAGAATTTTTGCTCACAAGACTCCACAGCTTAGAGGGAACATTGATCATGTTATGCACTAAGTGAGCAATCCCATTATGTGTAGAAAGTTTAATGTGAATCAAGGCTTAAAAGCATCTGTTTGTACGAATGAAAGCAGGCTGGGCCGATGCAGTCCCTCCTCGTTTTGTGGAATATGTTTTATATACAAATGTACAGACATTGCCCCCAGTTTGATATGCAGAAGTGTGTGTGGCTTGTTTGGAAAGGAGGTACAGATGTGCATAAACTACAGATATACAGCAACTGCACACTAACTTCTGGATCATAACAACTGTGCATGGTTAAAGATTTCTTCACATTTAAGCTCCTTTCTTCTTCAGCTATTCTTGCAAGACTGATCACCTTATCACTAATCAACAGTGCAAATCTGAGAAACCTTTCCTGGGAGTGTGCTCCATTGAATAGACCTGAGTAGTAATCTGAATAGAACTGCTTCGGATGGTACCACAGTTTGGGTTTTTCCACACATGTTATTTCTGTTGTTTGTATGTCCATACTGTGCCAGGTGTTGTTGGTTTTTTGAATCTTTTCCACACATGTCTTGCTCCCTCTAGTGGTCACTTCGATCTTTTCTAGCTATTTCTCTGTTTTTATGACCTAGAAATAGCAAGGAAAGATCAGAATGACCACTAGAGGGGGCAAAACACAAGTAGAAAAGGGGGGAAAAAGACACAGTAGGGGCATACAACCGATGAAATAACACATGCAGAAAAACCCTTTTATCAAAAAGACAAGAAAGGGTGTTTGTTACGACCTCCTTAGACCCAATAACATTTGAGCAAACGAGAAGGGTACTGTAACCATACACACACACAAACAATCTTTCATTTGAATTTCTTCTTCTTCTTTACAGCATGATATCACAATAGTTGCCCTCCAATCAGCCCTGGATGTATTTGATAAAAAGCTACCTCCTTATGCTGCCTGCCACCTTTTTGAGCTATATCAAGAAGCAAATGGGCAAGTATCCACTCAGATGCAACATGCAGCCGTGCTTTCCTGGGCAATCCCTTTTTATAGTCACTTCTCAAACTAGTCCGAAGGCCACCTTTTACCTACCATTTCTGAGCTGCTGATAGAAACGAGGGAAATCGTTGTATTTTGTGCTGAAACTGAACCATGGCTGTTCAAAATGTATTAAGAAACCAGAGACCCACCAGGGGTCATTTCATAGAAAAAGAGGTGCAGGAGCTAATTAGCATAACTTATTTGCATATGCCACACCCCCTGACATCACCGGAAGTGTGTCAGAAGGCAACACCCACCGCTCAGGCTCCACTGGACGGTTTTGGATTGCTAGCTATTGGGGGGGGGGAACGTGCAGATCTCTCCTCACAGAGGAGGGAGAGCTTGTACCAGAATAAAACTTGGTCTTAAAGGTGCCACTGGACTGTTTTGGGCCGGGGGGGGGGCTCTGCAACTTACCTGGCTGCTTCTTGCTCTGACTGAGGGATGCTGGGAGCAGGGGGTGGGGCTTGTTGCATGTGCCCGCCCCCTGGGCTCTTTACTGCCGGAGCTCCGCTCCGGTGCGCTCCTGCAGGAAATGACCCCTGGTTTCCACAATAGTTGTGGGGGGTTTTGCATAATGTTCTGGCACCTTCACAGGAAGATTTTATTGCCTGAGACAGCAGGTGGGGGCATCGGCATGAACTGCAATATCACTGAGGGAATGTGAGCTTGTATTGCAAGGTTTTGGGGGGTGTACTTGTATATCCGGTGACTCAGAAATAAGCAGAGGGGTTGAGGTCTACATGTACCCGTGCGTGTTGCACTCGACCCAGGGCATGAAGGCAGAAGCAGCTTCAACCAGTGTTCCCTCTGAGCTGAGTTAGTGTGAGCTAGCTCACAGGTTTTTAGCATCCTGCTCACACATTTTTGTCTTCGCTCAGGAAGGATGGCCCCAGAGCAAAGTAATTTATGCAGTAGCCAAATCACTCGCTCACAACTTTAATGCCAGTAGCTCACAAAGTAGAATTTTTGCTCACGAGACTCCACAGCTTAGAGGGAGCACTGCCTGCAACTGTCTCCTCCACACCGCTTTCTCCTCCTCAGACTGCCCTGAGAAGCTATTATTGGCTCTGTTTGCAATACCGCATTATTGATGCAGTTGCATGATGAGTTTTGCAACAGAGCCAAAAGCGGTTCCTGGGTTGGTCTGGGGAAACGAGAACAACGTGGGGGCAGTGAAGACTGAAGCCGCTTCTTCCTGTACACTGTGGCCACAAGGAGAAAAGGACGTGAGTGAACCTGAGAGGCACAACCCCCCCACTGAATGTCAGATTCAAAGTTCTCATGTTATCACCTAACAAACAGGAGGAATTCGTGACCTGTAAACTGACCATTATACACCTGAGTAGCCTTCAGCCCTTTCCATGAGAAAGGGGCTGACCTTTGGCTGGATTGTTCCTCTGGTCAAGTAGACCTGATGCTGCTAATTTAGTGTTGTGTGAATTGTTCTATATACTTCTCCCTGTGTGGTATCATATGGCGCTCCAAGCATGGGGGGGGGGGGACAGAAGTGGTCCCATGAAAAGCAGCAGTGACTGACCTATACAAATGACAAGTGGTCAAAACAGGTCCACAACTGTTCCCAGGGAGCCAAGGGGAAACTTTCTCATGCCTGCTAACCTTTTCACAAATCAAGGGGGAAAGCAACTGTGGATAGTTAACATGAAGTCTGGAAAGAAGGTAGCAGAACCTTACGGGAGCAAGGATGGAGGCATCCCTGGGTTCTTGAAGGAGTCGAGACAAATTCAAGTGAAAGGATCTGCAGCTGGGAAACAGGAACCCCTTCGTGTCTAGGACTGGCAACTGCCTGGGGAGAAAATGTTGTCCTGTCCGATTAGCAGAGACATACTAGAATGTTATTGGCCCTTTTGCACCATGAAAAGCTTCAGATGCCCATCTCTACACATTAAACCTCTATTAAAGACATCGGACATTTTTCTCCAGGCATATTGGCAATCCCATTCCTCTCCTAACCCTGAAGTAAAGATGAAGACATAGACAGCAACAGGGGGAAAAACCGAGGGAAATGCCCCCAGGAGCTGAGCTATAATGAAGGCTGCACCCCCACAATGCTGGCTCTACAGATCGTAGAATAACTTGCCTTTAACCTGACTGAAGAAAGGATGTTGACTTCCTCCAGCAAAGATTGTCCCCATTCTCAGGCTGCATTCATGTATTGTTGGATATTTTTCTATTCCGGCACTAAAGCAATAATTTGCTGTAACCTAAACAAAATAAATTCGCAAGTGGAAAATCTAGGTGCACCTACCTGCGTAGGATTGGGCTGCAAAGATGCAGTCCTTTGCATACTTGTTTCATAGGAAGGTTCATTGAAATCAGGGAGACTTCCTCTAAGGGCCAAACTACACATTATAGGTGGTGTTTTGGGGGTCACTTTCCCCACAGTCCCACAGCAGCAGCAAAGAAAGGCATTTTAAGGACCCCAGTAACTTAGCTGGGCTCAGGAGAAGAGAAGGGGGGGCTCCGGCTTTCCCCCCCTGCCTTTTTTTCCCAAGCTGAAACAGCTTGGAGGCAGTATTTCCCCACTTTTTGGAGGTGCATGTAGAGTATTCTGTGCCTTTTCCCACAGCTGCAGAGTGACTGTGGGGAAAACATAATGTGTACTTTGGTCCTACGTCAGTCTGTACAACCTCAGAGTTTACAACTAAATAATTTTCCCCAAGCAAATGACATCTATAAATAAAATCTCTACAATCTTTCTGTTTGGCTGAAGGAATCAAAAGGCAGTTTTGATATTTTCAGTTGTTAACCATGTACAGTTCCACAAATCTTATCAGAAGAGGTCTCAGAACACGTATTTTAAGAAAAAAAATATTGCTAACAAGGCCCATGTTGCATTTCTATGTGGTACTCAAAGATGGTAATAACCTAATTCTCTTCTTCTCCTGGGTGCCATAAAACCAGTCAGTACACCGTTGAGATGTACTACTTGACCAACGTTGCTAAAGACCCTGCTCCACTCACATTGCCAGGCTGCTCAAAGGCTTGTCCACTTGACAATTTTAAAAATTTGCTCCAACCTATCATAGTGGATGACTGGAAAGCAGAATGCAACAAGGCATAGGAAGCCATTATAAATGGGAGGTAAGTAATAGTGTTATCTGTCCGTCTATTTGTCTGTAATCTGGGAACAATAGTGGGAGTGATTGTAAAAAGATATAAATATCAGATGGTGTTCTTAAAATTCCCAAGCTGGCCCTCCTTCCAAAAAAATGGTTTATATTTATTAGTAGGTTTGTACCTGCTTTTTTCATTTCACATCTGAAACCCCAAAGTGGCTTGGAAAACAGTTCTGGTATCTTAAAATCACAATCTCTTCCACATAACTCTGCTTCATCTATACCTGAAGACCTTCCCGTTGAACATCAATACTGAGAGGGCCGGTGAGGATAGGGAAACGAGGTGCTCTTCTTCCCTACACATTTGGCAACCAAATGTTGTGTTTAGGGCAAGGCGGAAAGAACCCTGTTCCCCACTCAGTGGTTCAATCTTGTCACCCAGTTTCAAGAAACAGGAAGTGGGGAGAAAGCTGACTTTCCTTGGTACCCAGCAATACTCATAGAGTTCCTGGATCAGCTGAGAGGTGTGGGTGAGCCTTCCCATCCTACAGATAGGTGTCCCTCAGCTAGGAGATTTAGTGCCATCCCAAGCAGTTACACTCTTCTTAGCCCCTATGGACTTTCCCCCCTCCTTTGGAAATAATGGAAGATAGAAGGACCTCCTTTTGGGGCTCATAGAATTAGACCCCCTGGTCCAATCTTTTTGAAACTTTGAGGGGGGGGGTCAGGAGAGGTACCACCAGCTATGCTGAAAATTTGGTGCCTCTACCTCAAAAAACACCCCCCCCCCTGAGCCCCAGATACCCATGGATTGATTCTCCATTATACCCTATGGGGACCAGTCTCCATAGGGTATAATGGAGCAGCCGCCGCCACCACCCCTGCATTCTGACAGCCCTGAAGCAGGGGGAGGGGCTCCAAACTAGGGGATCCCCTGCCCCCAACTGGGTATTGGCAACCCTAGTTTTCTTTGTGTGAATTGAACCTATGAAACTTTATTTTCACTCAGTCTTCTTTTTCCCGTTGCCAATTTTTTCTCATTACATTCATGCAGTTTTTAAGAGTGCTTTTCGTGTCAACTGCATAGAAACAATGCCCAAACCTGCATAAAAACTGCATTAAACATGAACTGGGATCAGCTAAGGACAAAGGGAAAAGGCTGACAATGGCAACGTACAACAACAAAAGAAACGAAAAAGGGCAAATTTGTACACCCTTTACATACAGTTCTTGTAATAATGATATCTGTACTTTCGTAAGCTATATTTCTACATTTTGAAAGTGCTCTTGGCTTTTTGACATGTTACTATTGTGTTTTATCTGCCAGAAGCAAAACTAAAGTCAAAGGAAGGACAAAACAGCACCAACATCTTAAGAGGAAGGAAACAAGATGCACATTAAGTTATGCAACAGTAAAACATTGTCCTAGGCATCAAGATTTTCCTCCGTCACAGAAATCAGCTTTAAATTATCTTGCCTATTGGAACCTAGAAGTCACTCAAATAGTAAAATGAAAATATGCCTAACTTTCTTCTTATGGTCTTAGACTGAAAGTTATTAGAGCTGCAAACGGCAACCAATAAAAATCATAGCATGTTTAACGAACTAAAGGACATAACTCTTCCTAGGAGGGTTCTGCTAAATTTGCTCCCCGATAATGGTGGGACCCAAAATAATTATAGACTAAAGACATTTTGAAGTTCTCTAGTACAAGGCCCACCGATATGAATGGGAGGTCTTATATAATTCCCATTCATATTTTATTAGGGTTGCCATGTTCCTTCTTGCCACCAGGAGGGATGGGGTGGGTAGGATTGTCAGATCCAGGCTGAGGAACTCCTGGAGATTTGGGGGTGAAGCCTGGGGAGTGCAGGGGCCTGAGTAGAGCACAATGCCATAGAGTCCACCCTCCAAAGCATCCATTTGCTCCAGGGGAACTGATCTCTGT